TTTGTTTGTTTTTGTTTGTTTGTTTTGTTTTTTTGCAATGTGAGCTTTTTTTAAAAAGAAAACAAAACTTTCTTGGCTCCCTGCACTTCTGCACATACTTGGGGAGAAATGGGATATGAGGAACTGTGACATCTACATTTGATGCTGGAAAACGCTTCCACTTGAGTCTCTCACACTTGGGTCCCACAGGCACTGATGGAACTCTTGAAATTTGTACGTAAGTTGAGGTGCATGTGCTGTTAAATAGCTCTTGGTGCAGTGACAAGCTGGGATTAGACCTCCCTGGTTTATGAGGCATATAATTAGGAAGAGGAAAAGCTCTAATGAAACTCCCCCTGTACCAGGAAATAAAAGCATGCTCTTTCAGTCAGGACTCCACCCGGTTCCTGCAAAACAAGCTGTTGACCACATAAGGCTTCATTGACATGCATTTCTGCAAAGCAAAGGCTTTCGCAGGTGGATTGGCTGATAGGAAAATGCTCAGGTGGCCGGTTACAGAGGATTCTGCCTCCCTGCCCACGGAGGAAAACACAAACAACGGAGGAAAACACAAACAACGTCAAGGACAGGGTCTGGGAAACACTGCTCTGGAGGTTATGGGTCTAAAAGTTATGCACATGGAAAGATAAGGAAGATCCATTAAGTGAAAAACAGCAATTTTCATGTCCCCATTTTTTTAAAAAAAATGTGTGTTTGTGTGTATATGACATCAAGAAAGATGGAATCCAAACCTTTAAAATGGGATTTCACTTTTTCCTTTATACTCCTTTGTACTCTCTGAATTTTTTTGGACAAAAAGAAAAGGCAGTATTTTTGAATTAACATTGTTATTTCAATTTTCAAAGAACTAAAAAATTATTACAAAGTCAGGGTCTAAATGAAAGACCCACAGGGAGGGGCCCAGCACAGGGCTCAGCTCAGGAGCAGGGCTGCCAGTGTGGGCCACCAGCGAGGATTCCTGAGCTACTGGGAGCTCCTGGGCTGTGACAGGGATAGAGAGAAACATTTAGGAAGAAAGAGAAGGGGAAAAACATTTGTTGTCTAGCCATTGTTATTATACAATATTTTCTTTAATCACAATAGCCCTACTGTGCTAATATTAGTTCATCAAGGTGGCAGCATTCAAGTACCTGTCTACATCTTGCTTTGACTATAATGCCTTCGAAATAGCTAAGAGTCAGGAGAGAAACTAGAAGTCATATCTCCATGTGGCAGCCCATAGGGAAGAGGTNTTTTTTTTAATAAAAACAAAAATACCCTACAAACAGCCCCTGTCCCCTCCCTTCTTTTGGTGCCCCAAGATGGACCAAAGCTCAGGGGTCCTCAGTTTGCACAGGAAGCCTCACGGGAGTCCCATCCAGAGGCTCCAGGACTCCTGGAAGGGCTCAAAGGCAGCAGTTTGGTTAGAATGACCACAGGCGTGTAGGGCACAGCATTGGGGGACTTAGTCTTGAAGGCGTATTTGCGGAGTTAGTACGTCTTACAATGAACTACATGTTTATTAGGGGTGACTGGATATTGGTGGAGATTTCAGAGCAGGAAGGCAAGTTAAGATGCCAAGCCTTCCTCAGATGCATTCTAATAATACAGTCTATTTTCTTGACATTAACTGCAAACGTTTTGGGGAAACAAGGCCAAAAGCACAACTTTTCATTCTGGGCAGGCAGAATGGCTTTCATCCATAGCCCTGAGTTGGCTCTCGTGCTGCTCACCAGTGGGGAGCGGGCAGGATCTCAAGCTGGGTGGCAAATATTGCAGGAAGCCAGCTGGGCCAGAATCACTAAGTGAGCGAGGACAAACAATCCCATAAACATGTATAGGAATGAACAGACCAAGGATGGTCTTGGAGCCAGCTATACAAGGTGGGACCTTGAAATTAATTTTAAGTTGCAGAGCACAGTGGAGGTTGGCAATTCCTGTCAGAACCACCCCTGTGACCTGGGTTCATGTCATCCTGGTTCACAATCAGCCTGAACCTGCTGTCTTTGTCTTGGGCAATGTGCAACTCTTAATTCTGCTTAGAAGGTTTACCTCTGAATCACTGCCATGTTATCTGGGGCATTTAAATGAGGAAGGACTAAGTATTTCCATGAGAAAAATACAGGAGACTAGGAATGTCCATGCTGCTCCTATACAGGAAACATAGGAATGAGATACTCTAAATTGTTAAAAATTATATTTAGGGGGTAGGATGACTGGGGACTTGAGGCTGGTGGTTGTCACATATATCCTGTGTGTTTGTGTATATGTGGAGGTTTTTGGCTTTTCTTCATTTTCTCTGGTAAGCATTTATTATTATTTTTAATCAAAACAATATTTTTTATTCCTTATAATTATACAAGTATCCTAAACTTCCAACACACATGAAAGAAGGTGATATTCAATAAGAGATATTCTTTTCAAAAACCCACACAAAAGCTGACAACATGACTGTGTTTTATCTGCAACCCACCAAATAAAATGGGGTGCACAGAGCTGGAGGTTTTGACTTTAGGGGTCCCCACAGTCAATGCATGAGAAAACTGAAACCCAGAGGCAGTTTCATTGTCAGAGAAGCTCATTTTCTCCCTATGTAATCACTCTGGCTTGGTCAACATAGGCATTGGTCAATCTACAGAGACCAAAAGAACCCAAAAGGAATGGAGACAGATGATTGACAGATAGATAGATAAATAGATAGACAGATAGATAGATAAAAAGAAATAAAAAAATTTAGAAAGAAATGCTCCACAATGCTAACAACTGTTCTGGTTGAATGGTGGAATTATGGGTAATTTTGTTTTCTTCTCCATACATTTTTGTATTTTCCAAATTTTCTCAAAAGAACATAAGTTAAAAAGATAAGAAATGTAATGTTAAATACAAAGAAATGACATGGATTGGCCTGGGTTGAAACATGTCTATTGTAGTTGACTTTGCAGCATCTGTTTCAACCTAGACGATTGGTTTAAACCAGCCACAATCATCCCATTCCCCTCGCCAGTGATGGATTTGGAAGTGGGCATGTGACCCAGTCCCAGCCAATGAGACATAAGGAGAAGCCTAATGGAGTGCCTCTAAAAGAAACCAGAGGTGAGCGGCCTCTTTTCTTCCTCCAGATACTGTCATGTTTTAAGATGATGCTATGAGTCTGAGGCTGAAGGAGGAAACAAACAAGGGAAACTCAAAGAAATAGACCATAGCCTGGATGTGTCATGCAAGGAGCCCAACTACCTCTAGACTTATTCCCACTTGAGACACGTTTCCTTTTTGAGTTGGATTTGCTGTTACCTCCAGCCAAAAGCATCCAAATGTATACAGATGTCCAAACTCATGCATTAGGAGTGTCCAATATAATAAGTAAAACTACTTCAGAGCCACCATATCATACATGGAAGAAGAAAGTCGTTGGTCTCTTGAATAGCCCTACTTAGTAACATCCAGAAGTTCTCTCTATACCTCACTGCAGAATTACATCTGTACTTTTAACATTACCCTAAAGACATGTAGAAACATTTCCATCCAAAATGATAATGCTAGGAATTCTTCCAAAATGCCTTGTTAAAGTCACATCAATGCTTTCAACTCCACTCTCCTACATGCTATGGAAAGAGTATAAACCAGAAAAAACAAAAAACAAAAAACCTTAAATGACTCACATCTTTGATGTAGTTCATCTCTTCTTTTAGCTGATTGGTAGAC